TTTTCATATTTTCATAACCTTAATTTCTGCTATGTCTCTCATTCAGATAACACCCCAAAATCCTTAGTATTGGAAAAGCAAATCCCATCATGCTTTTATAGTTTATAGCTATTGTATTTTAGTGGGGATATGACACACTACTATTGAGGCTATGATTTATACCTGGTAAATCCCTAGGGCTGTCATAAGATAAATGCATTCAGCCAATGCACAGATTTGAAATGGTTTGAAAATAGAATTGTTTACTATTCCTAATCCAATACCAATATATACAGTGTTTTTCTCAATTCTCTGAACATCCTAATAGCACTTCATTTCATTTAAAAAGGGACTTCCCACCTCTGAGTGCTGTAAAAGTAGAGATACTCTTTGTTTCTAGGCATAGGCATCATTTGGGACATTACTGTTTATTCCTGTTAAATTATCATTGAAAGGCGGGGGGTTGTTGTTGCAAAGAAGAGGAAAATATTCTGGATTTCAAAGATGTCAACGAATTTTAGTTGAAGACTTGGTAAAGCTCATGGGGTACAGGCAGGTGAGTTCTATGTAATTTAATGTGGCCTAGCTCCTGCTCTAAACTTACCAGAAAGAAATTTCAGCCCAGTTTTATACTATTATTATATTTAACCTACTCGCTTAATACACAGCCCTAATTACACCCTACACAGCCTTAATGCTGGAAACACTGAGACTCAGAATGCTGACTCTAAGCTACTACAGGGTTTTCAGACTGTGCTCTTGTGACTGGTGACTCAGAAATCTTCTCAGTGATGCTAAAGAATAATTATTTTGAATGCCTGTTTTTTCAATGAGAGCAGTAGTGAGCAGGAGATACTATGGGAGGTGTGCTAGGGAAGGACCTTTCGTGGTTATCTTCTCACTTGGAAAGGAAACTTTATACAAGTGCTGCATTTTTACTCTGTATGGTATCTGCTATTACTCACTAGTTCAGTAAACACTTTGTTACCTCTAAAATGGTGTTAGTGTCTTGGAGTGCCAGCAAGAGAGCTGCCAGGTCTGGAACTTGTGTCAGGATCATTTGGGAGCTCACAGGCAGTGAGCCCCCCCTCCGGCGATTTCACAGCTGTTGTACTGTGTACTTGGTATTGGTGTACACCAAGATGCTGAGCAGCATTTTCTCTTCCAATTGTATCTGGCTCTGCTTTTCTTTCCCGTGTTACCCTTCCTAAATAGAAATGCTCATATTAAGCATTTCAAATCATTGTATGAACATCACAGAGACATCTGAGGTGTCAACAACATGTTAATATTCTATAGAATCCCTGTTTATGTATTATTTTACTATGTTACCCTAAGTGGTACATCACTTTGTGGCCACATGCTTCCTACCAAAACAAACATTTAAATGGCTTTGAGTTGAAAGCTGGCATTTGTAAAGGAAAGGATTTGTAATGTGATTTAATTGATTTATGTAATTGAAAAGCAAAACAAACCCCCACTGTTATGTACTAGAAGTGACGCCTTTGTCTTCTCCAAAATTTCATTTGTTTACATGCCCTGCAGCCATACTGAGAGAACGGAATCACTGGCGACTTCTCTTGGGCCTGTCTGAAAAAGGAGTCTGAAAAGGGAGGAGAGTGTCCAGAGGGTTGTGAGAAGGAAGAGATGAGTGCTCAGATAAAAAGCAGCTGGAGGGAAGCCTACAAGTAAAAAAGAAAACCAGATCAATAATGATGTTAACTGCAGCTGCAAATGCAACTATTTGCATTTTGATTATATTTTTCCCAACTACTTCACTATGCCCAGAGTATCTTGAACACTCGGCAACAGATAAACCACCTTCAGAAGGGCATTATTTTAATGGAAACTCAAGATCCTGAGGATGCTGCTGCATTTTTCAGTAGAGGGCTAGTAGAAAGACCAGCTTCCCTTCCCCTCCTATTGCTTGCTCAGCAAGATGCAAGGATCTGAGACTGCCCTAATTTACAAGTGTCTCTCAAACAACCTTCCACTGACTTTGTCTCCTCCCTTTTCCCTTTTACCTTCCTAGACCTTTCACCCTTTGGTTCCCTTGAGAAAACCATGACGAATTTCCATCTGGAAATTTCAGTCTCAGTGTTAGGTAGTCTCCTGTTGTTGGTGGCCTTTCCTCTCCACCCTTTCTCTTCATCACACTGAGACTTTTGACAAGGTCAAACAATTCATCTTTGTTTCTATATTTATACTGGGAAGCTCCCTTTAGCAGCACAATAACATTTCAGATAGGACAGGCTGACAAAAACAGTAGATAAGAAAGCTCCTGGTACAGAAACCTGGCCTGGTAAAATAAAACATTTCTTTTAAATGAAAACTTCCCAAGTTTTCATACAAAGTAAGGAATAAAGTGCAGGGCTGCTGAAAGCTGTACTGCCTACCTGAATGTGTTTGTGTTTGTTGGATATTTTTGAAGAGAAGTGAAAGACAGACACACAAAAGTGAAACCTGAACACTGATAAATGAAGCAATCAAGAGAATTGCAGTAAGTTTGCAAGGAAGTCCTGAAAAAGAAGGAATTAAAGAAACTAAAAATGGAAATTAAGATGATGGGTTTAAAAATGTCCATTAAGTATTTGAAAGCAAGTATAAGAAATAGTGATGGATACTTGTCTGGGAAAGGAAATATAATGTCTGCCAGCATGAGAAAGGTGGGCAGAATGCTCTAGCCATAGTTGTTACAGAAGGATGGGAACCTAAATCAAGACAAGCAATGGCTTCTCTGGGCAGAATGCCGACTACTCTGTGCAAGAACAAGTGTTTGGTTAAGAAATGATGTGATGAAACACTTATGGTGTGGCACTACCCCAAGGAAGATTGGTATCAACGTGATCCACAATGGCTCTGGGGGAGGGTGGAATTTAAGCTTCAGTTCTTTGCTACTTTTATTTACATTTACGTTCAGTGTTTTATCTAGAGAGAATGAAATTACTTTAAGGTCCCGTGGTCCAGATGTGGGCTTTGTTCAAAAGTATCACAGATCACCTGGCAAAGCAACTGTGCAATAAACAGGTGCTTGCTGCAGAGTGTCAGCTTATAAATCTATCACCTCCAATTCATTAATCTTCTTCTGAAGCTGTACCTCCCAAATTTTGATTTCATACTGATTTCCACAGCAACCCAGCATTTGGAGGTGTACTGATGTGTGATGATGATTGTGTGAGAAGTTTGGGTATCCCTGTTCCATGCACACAGGCTACATGGTTTATCTTAATGAAAAACTCTGGCAGGAGTTTGGAAAGTTGTCGTTGGAAAATCTTGGTTTTCGTAAGCTATTTCAAAAGATCAGAGGGAAGTGTGGCTATGCCAATCTGGATATGAAGGATTTATAGTCCTCCGAGACTGCATTAAAGTACTTCCATGGGAGCAGTTCACTAGTGGGCTCCCTGTTGCCTGGGACTCCGTAGGGCACCAAGTATTCCCAACCACTCTTGTCTAATCCCCCATAACCCGTTTATGCCTATAACCTACAACCCAAACACCTGCAATCCTTGTCAAGGGAGATACTGCTGGGGATGGAGTCCGTTGTCCAAGCTTTGCCTCCTTCTCAGGCAGCTCGAGAGTCCTTCACCATACCAAGAGTGCAGGCTTCCTTTACCACATCCTGCTGCAGGAGCAGTATGGACGGGCTGGAGCTGATCCTTGGGAATTTTCTTCTCTTCACGTTCCTCCAGGGGACATAAACATAAGGTTGGATTTGGTGGTTTGGTTTGTTGAGGTGTTTTTATACTAAAAGTGCCATCCCCTCCATGCAGTGATGCACAGAGCCACAGCCTCAAAGATAACATTGTCTTTCTGCACCAGGAGAAATCTTTGTTTTAAATTTCATTAGCCTTCAAGACTGAACTGTCTGACTGTTTTTCCTTACTACTTCCTCACAGCAACTGACCTTCAAATGTAGCACAGGTGGTAAAAGCTGTAATAGTATCACCTCAAGGTGTTTCTTTGCATTTGCATTAAATTGGTTCCTAATAAGTTAGTAACGTAAGAAGCTATTCAATGCCAGCAAAAACTCAGAAATATGTAGCACAGAACAACCTCTAGATTAGAATCATGTTTTTCAGCTGACTGTCAAGTTCTCCCATGCGCTGTCAAAGGTCATTAAAACCTCTGTCCCACTTGTCCTTTTATCCCTGCCTGTGGAGATTCATTTGAAAATACCTTGATGACTCCCATCCACAAAACTTCCTTATCTAACCATATATGAATCACTTTGAAAGCAGCCGCATTTCTGTTAGCAACCAAAGCATCAGTCTTAGCAACAAGACAGCCAGTGAATTTTGTGTTCACATAGCTACTCATGGACAGTACGTTCTGCTCTCTGCTTTCCCATGGCATTGCTGCTGCAGTGGGGACTTTCTGAACTAGTACAGACAGATCAGACGCTTGTTCATAGGAAAGACAGCCATTGCAGGGTAAATGATGACCTCTGTGCCTTGACTGTTCTTTCCTTTAGGAGACAGTGCGAGAGACTGACTGCTGGAAAGCTCAAAAATTACGTTTTCCCTGTGACAGAATTACTACGAAGACGTGTGCGGAAGCTGACAGCTTCCAAAATCTTGACCTCCCCCACAGAAACCATAGTGGAGAATCAAACTATTAGCTGTAAAGTCTCACATCTCAGGCTCTCTCAGCAGTTAGAAAGAGCAGTTAGAAAGGCTGGCTCTAAGGTGACTTTTATACATATTTTTTCCCCTATATTTTCTTAGCAAGAACAATTTTGGAAGAGATATTATAATGAGAGAAACTGGGAACATGAGAGCAATTGCCATTTTGGTTATTGCCTGGGCTGTTGTCTTTCCAGGACTGTTGGGGAAGCTTCCTGAGGAAGCAATGCTAAGATGGCATTTATGAACAGAGCAGTGTTGTAGTAGTTTCCATCTCTCACATTGGAAGGAAATGAGTTACCATGTGTAGTTTGAGCCTATTAAGAAATTGGAAGTGCAAGTAGAAATAGTAAATGCACTCACAGCCCACCTGTGTTCCTCCTCTGTCTCCTCCCGTAGGCGCTGTTGGCATACTGCATGCCGGTTTGATTCCCCTACTTGTATCCAAACTGAAGAACGAGTTGGAGGAAATCCAGGAGCTAATCCTTGGTACACTCTCCAACTGTCTGCGTGTGGAGGCTTCTGAAGCTCTAGCAGCTGATGTTATCACTGTCCTGAAGGAAAAGCTCACACACTCATCAGTGGCCACCAGAAGCAAAGCAGCTTGGGTCCTCTTAGAAATCAGGTAAAGAAACCTGTCTATAACACATGAGCCCAAGAATATACTCATTTCACGAGGAGTCAAGGTCATTAGTTTACCGTGGTGTTCCACTACACATTGAAGCTGTCACATTTCCCATGTAAAGCAGCATCAGCCTCAACACACACACACATAGAAGACTTCTAAAATCTGTAAGTGCTGTAAATACTCAAGAAAGCAAATGCAGATCAGTAAATGTCATTCCTTATCCTTCTGTTTGTCTTTGGTGTTGGCAGTGAAATCAGGATTTTTCATTATTTTCTCAGCACTGCTAAGAAAAAAATCATGCATGAGAAATGGGAAAACAAGATTCTGACCAGGAGTAGGGAGCAGGAAAAAGTAGGGAGAAGCTCCCTTGTTTTTTTGAACAACTGCTCACTCTCTAAAAACTAAAGATCCTGGGAAGCTTTCAGTGTGATTGAGAATAGAAATTGTTTTCTGACACAGGCTGCTACAAACATCAATGATGGATCAGCAAAAGTAGTCTTTATATTCCACTTGTGGGTTGAACACTGGATAGAGGGAACAATTCCAGTCCACTGCCCTGCAATCACAGCATATAATAAAAGTACTCAGCAGATGTCTGGTTTAAGAAGGTCTGCAGGTGATGTAGCTTACTTATCAGCTGGCACAAAACACTTCCTAATGTCCTGTAACAAGGTAAGGCCCTATAGGAAAAGCAAGAGAGTATCAATGACATGAGTAATAAAGCAGAAATGCAACCTGAGTACGGACATCAACTAAGCTACAGGTCCCCATAGGAGCTGGGCCATGTCAGATACTTCCTCATTAGGCTGGAAAGAAAGAGAGAGAATGGACCTGTGAGCATTAATAACTGCAGACCCCACACTTAGCAGGTTTTAAAATCTGTGTAGGGCTCAACAGCCAGGTTTCTACCTGAATTGTCATAGCACATTAAACCGTAATCCTGGTACCTGCTGCTGCCCAGCCATCTCCAGTGTGGGGCAGACAGTAAAAAACAAATAATCCAAACATCACCTAAAAACCGTCTAAACAATTGGTAAGCCTACACACATCGGTTAACATGATCTCATCAGTCTTGTATCAGCAAGTAGATTTCATAGACACCAGGCACAACAGACATCCCCTTTCTTTTCTTTGTGGCAAGCAGTGGCACTTGCCATCTGTCCAACAGTCAGAAAGCTGTGACTCCAAAGAGAACAGAGAGGAGGACTGTGTCAGCACCGCTGTCATCAAACAAAGGAGGGCTGCAGGGATCCAGGCTTGGGGAGAAACTGTGGGCAGCTGTGTGGTTTGCAGGCACAGCTCAAGAAAGCAACTTAACCATCTTTCCTGCACAGTACTCATCCAGAAGGGAAAAATGAGGTGTGTGAAGAAGTTATTCCTGTGCTGGTGAGCCTGCTTGAAGATTCAGATCCTGAAGTCCAAGCCAGTGCAACAGGAGCACTGATGTTTGCTACTATCAAACCTCAGGGTGAGAGACAGGGGGAGTTCTCTTGGAATACTTTCTGGAAACCCAATTCTAAGCCAACTTAGTCCTCAGTTTCTAATGGTGTTAAAGCTCTTCGAGAAACTGTAAGATTAGATCTTTTCTTTCTATCTGTTGTTATATGTATTGTTGCTCCCCCACAGAGCCTAGAGGGGACAGTAGATCTCACATTTCATTCACCTGAAGTAGGTCAAGAAGTTATTTACCTACCCCTCCTGCACCTTTTCTCTCCAGAAGGGGAACACCTTCCATTCAAGCCCAGGCACCACAGAGATCCACACACCTGAAGCTACTCGAATCACCAGTCCTCAGCAGAGGAGCACTACTGTCTGGAAACTCTTTTTGTAGTTAGAGGCAGTTTCTCTCTCACAGCTGGGAGAGGAATGAATATTAACAAGGTTTGTAGTTCTCCCAAGTCACTTACATGACACTGAAAATTTTCAGTGGGATGAATGAATAATTAGACATAAATGACTCTTAATAACAGCAGTTGTGTTCCAGACCTCCTCTGCAACCATCCCCCCTGCTTCTGAAGACAACACAGGAGTGGATCTCACTGTTTGAAGTGTCTTTAAAATGAAAGCATGGAGGATGTTCCTAAGGGCATCTAACCCAACCCCAAACACCTTATTTTATCCCTTGGTGCCTCGTATATTCTTAGATAATTCATTGCCAGTGAAATCATAACATGCAGGGCAGATAAAGTTAACCAAGATCTTTCATCTTAATAAACAGCTGGCAGCTAGCCTTGGTCTTCAAAAGGAAAGCATGTCTGACTTCTTTGCACTGCACACTCTGGGGTGTTCAGAGCTGTGGCTGGCCAGGGAGTAGACAGTAACAATTCAAAAGCACGTTGGTTGTATGCAACAACGCATTTTAAAGTCAGCTTATTTCTCTACAGGGCGATTCTCAGCCCTAGGGGCTGGAGCCATCCCACCTTTGCTGGAGCTGGCTGCTGAGGAAGGTGGCAAAGCCCGGCTGAGTGCCATCAAAGCCCTCACCATGCTGGCTGAGCTACCAAAGGGGCGCCAGACTCTCCTCAACCATTTAGATACGTTTCAGCAGTGTCTGAAGGATCCCAGCAAGGCAGTGGAAAGAGCTGCCAAAATTGCCATCAGTGTCATCCAGTGGAAACCTTACTGAAGATGTGAAGTTTCCTAGAGATCTGTTGCCCTCTGTTGTTGTCTGGCTGTAAAAGTTGCATGATTAAATAAGCCCTTCCTTCAAAACTCTTCTTTCAGTTTCTCTGGATCAGTTCCTCCTGAGAAGTCATTGATTAACAGTTCACATCTATATTGCAGCTCACAAGCAGAATAATGGGGGGGAAGGAATTAGGAAGTCTGGAATTCTCCACCAGGAGTTACCAAGATTTTCTCCTGTGATACAAGAAACCATTCCTTTCTGGTTCCTTTATCATGTTCTTGCATTTCTTTTCCTTTCTTCTTTTGAAACCTCAGCCTATCAAACAATAACTAATTCTATTAGAAAGAGGAGTTCAGAATGAAGCTCTCCAGCAGCCTTGTCTATGCCAAGAAATTGACCCAACAGCAGGAATTTACAGTTTTGCTGTAAACTGTTGAACATAGGATTGGAACCATTTACAGCATCATTACAGGCAAAGCGATGGCAATGTCATAGCAGGGCTTCCCCAAGAGAATTATGAGACTTTCCCAGCCTGCGATATAACCTAACACTTATCAGCACCCTTCTAATGTATGACTTGCCAGCAGTGAATCCAGTGCAGATGGACCCCACTGCCCTGGGCTAAGAGCCCCTCAGTCTCACCCTGTCCCTGTGATAAGGTTTATTCATGTAACATTCCAACACCGCCAGCTAATGACTCCTCAAGGAGGGTTTTAGTAGCAGCCCTCACCTTAGTTTGCAGCCCCCTCAGCCCTCTCCTCAGCCTTAGCTGTAGTGATTGCTCTTGTGTTTTCAATCTGGTGAGGATCAAAACATGCAAGTTTTCTCCTTCTGCATGCTTGGATCCAGGCTCAGGGCTGCCTCATGCAATTGTCCAAGTAAAAGGAAAGTAAGTCAGAAAAACTTTAGGGTAAAGCTTGGTGAAGGTTTGCTGGTGACAGGCTCCACTGCCTCTAACAAAAGAGGGGTCTATCTGAAACTGGGTGTAGTATGGAACAAAAGTGCCTCTGCGTTTGTGCTGGTACTTGGTATTTTGTCATTTTGTACAGCTGTAATCTATCCTTTGGGTACAAAAGTTAATAAGTACAATGGAAATGGAAGCGTTGAGCCAGAACTGAAGAGTTTTGCCACTGTGGCTCACTTCTGAGGGAGAAGGACGGGGTGAGAGGAAAGCTGATCCTAATGTTATGGTCTATTCCAACAGGAGCTGGACAAGGCGATCTCCAGAGGTACCTTCCAACCTCTCGTATTCTATGATTAACAGCTGTCTAAACAGAGACGAGATAAACAGGACAGAGAAGTGAAAATGTCAATCCCCTGTTTTGGACAAATGCGTTCAGTTTTTATTTTCTTTAAAAAATTTAGCAGTTTTTTTAAAAACCCTTTTACCTCACAGAATTGAGAATAACAGAAAATTCAGGCTGTTTGTGTAAGGCAGCCCATCCAACAAGACATAAATTGCCTGAAGGAAATGAGGTGGTTCCTGTGTTTAGAGCTGATGGGCAGTGGAAGCGATGGAAAGTTCAGTAGCATTTTACTTGCTGTGTAGTCAAGGCAGGTCACTACAGATATGCTGCAGATTTCTCTGTCTGCAGTTTTAAGAGTGTAATTGAAGAGGCATCAGCAAAAAGCCCTGGCAAAGAATTAAAGGAGGCCAGCAGGACAAATCCTGGCCATTCCCAGCCACCAAGAGAGGTGTGATAATGCAGCTGACTCAGCTTCACAGGAAGTCCTATTTGTTTTCACTCATGCCTTGCTCTCATGTGGTATTTTTATACCTAGATACTACCAGTTGTAGCTACAAAGAAGCTGCATCATCTGTATAAAGGGGTTGTGTGTCAGGGCTGCTTTTTCACTGCAGAAACCCACTGTCACACCACAGACTGCACTACCCTTATACAAAGGGTAAACTTATAGGAGTGATTAAAGTTGAAATGCTTCCTTCCGTAACCTACCAAAAGGGTGATTTACAAGTACTGAGTCAGTTGGATTCATTCCCTCCAGGCAGGATCTTGGAGGAACTCTGCCTTTAAACACACTTACATACATAAGGCACTCATATGTAATGCATACTGATGCCAGAATGCACCCAACTCAGTAACAGAGAGACAGGCAGATGAATAACATGCTGAACGTTCAGTGAAGGACAAGGGAACAGCAGAGAACAGTGGGCTTGTCTACACTTACAAAAGTGCTGCAGGAACACACAGTGACAATGATCATTTCACCTCAGTACCAACCTTCTGTGACAGACTCCCTGGCAATCCAGGTATCCCGCTTCAATGACTGTGCAAAACAATTGGCTTGTTCAGGTGTAGAAATAAGACCATCCAGACTGAACTGCTCTGACTAGCAGGAATGTAGCTGCCTTGGCCCTTAGGTACTGCATTCTAAGCAGTAGATCCTTGCTTTAAGCCAATATGAGCTCTATATGATATCAATGGTCTTTTCTCATATACGTGCACAGTACAAAAGCAGAACAAAGCCCTAACTGAACGCTGAAATAACAGTTTTAGTGACACCCCTTCCCCTGATTTGTCTCAGCAACTCTTTGGCACTATTGTATCTGACAACATAAACCATGATATTTCAATCACAGCAGTAATTCCTTTGGCCTATACTGACCACGTACTGCCTATACAAACACCAGAATTTGAAGTGTGCCTGTAGAACAGCCATTATTAACTTTTTTTACTCACAAAGCTGTATCTACTGACAAAAACGTTGCAGATATAATTCAATTTCACAATTTATTGACAGGACTGCAGTGGATAAACTCTTGCAGGGGCACAGCACAACATATGACCATGGTGGCAGAGTTAAACAGCCTGTGTCAAGCAGAAGATGCTGCAGAGAACATGAGCTAATGCAGAAACAATGCTCTTTCTTGCAGAACACCATTTGGTAACTTGGGGAGTTTCTAGAGCTGTGTTATCTTGGTGCCCACATATTTGGTGTTGCAGACTCAGCCCCACTGCAGGAATACAGCACAGGCACAGGGCAGCAAACCCCAACAGAGCCCAGGTATGGCTCTATCTTATAGAGCAGAGGAACATGACACTATCTCCTTTGTGATCCTGACTATATAGAACCAGAATTAAAAGGTCAGGTTTTATTCTACAAAATCATTCTTCAGGGTATATTAAAATGTAACACACAATTGCTCCCATAGTAATATGCCAGTTCCTAAATCTCCTTCCTAAAATGAGATTCTCAGCCAAAATTTGATATCTGAAATGTCCCTTGATTTCATAAAGGCCTTTGAGATCTCAAATGTAATTGAAATTAGTCAAGTACAACTCCTAACTAAATGTTCTAATGCAAGCTGGTTTTCCCTGGGAAAACGTAGACCTGCCTTCTTTTTAAGTTATTTGGCAGGAAATACCATACCCTGGTTCTTAGAAGATATAACAGAAAAGAAAGAAAGATAATTTTAGAGGATTTCTACTATAGGCCACCCATATATTTAGTAACAAGGCATCAAACCAGCACGTAGATATATCAAGACCATCTACCAATGTTAGCAGTTACCAAGATATCCAGGAATTTGGGGGGGTATGTTTCAGTGTATTTCTGAATCCCCCTGTTAAAGCAGTGACCATGAGCTGGGAGATGAGATTACAGCTCTGCAACAGTGGTTGGGAAATCAAAGCAATCAAGAATATGTCCTTGAAAAAGTTTTCACCAGTAAAGAAACCAGTGGTGAAAAAGAAATGTCCACATTGACCCAAAACAGGTTTAGGAGAGAGACAAAAAATAACCCAGTGGCATGAACAGAAATGACAGGGTAAAAAGAATTAGTTAGAAATACACAGCATAAGCCTGGATTTTGAGGCCTGGAATTCCCAGTACTCTTATAAATTGGTAAACTGACTGATCCTGTAATTTAGCAAATAATCACTTAGAGAATTTCCATACCTAAAAAAAAAATCCTTATGATTAAGGATTTTCCTTTTTTTCTGAGGTACACCAAGCCTTGAAACAAAGGAGAACAAGGTGTGCTGATGCTGCAGTAACACTAGTTAACACACAGGTTGGAGTTAACCCAAGATACCCTTTGGCCCTGGCAGTGTTTGACATCTTCCAGTTACTCCTTCACTGCTGAGTTTTTCCCTTTAGACAGTGCACAAAATGAAATATGCATCCTCAAATTCTTCTTGTACTCACATCCTGATAAAACAAAAGGGTCACCTGTCCTAGCAAGTCCAAAGGCAGCAGTTCAAATCATGTTCCCTATGAACCTCACCAAGAAGATGATGACACTGACAGTATTACATGATGCTAACTGGGCAACCTGTACTATAGAGTTTCCTGTGGCTGTTGCCTCCCTTGTCAGGTTAGCCTTGTTTCTGACCCATAGCACAGATTGAGCCCTCGAGTGGTGCTTGGTGCTTGCTGGCTATACAGTCATCTCAGTGTGGAACATTCATTCAACAGCAGCTACAGACTAAGGACCAGGGAAGTACTGACATAAACAATGGGCAGGGGGAGTGCCACAGCTGTCTACAGCCAACTTCCCACTTTGGGATAAGAGACAATGGTCCCTAATTGGGGAGGCTGGGCAATTAATTAGTATTCTAGGTGCCAGTAAAACAATGAGCTGGATCAGAGAAACACAGCTGAGGAATGCTTCCCTTGGACTGACTTAGCTTTCAGTAGAGTGCACTCCATAATAAAGCTGCCACAGACTTGGTCACAAAGATGCTAAAGACCCTTTTGAATTGCTTCATACACATTTAAATACTTCAATTAACATGTCAGGATGTGGCACTCTCATGCACTGTAATTAAACTCACTGTTTCAAAAGAAATGTTGTGTGTACAGCAAGCCTTTGCTTTTAGCACTATGTGCTCCACACTACAATGACATTAGCACCTAGGTAGATTTTTAACATCAAAGACAAATGGTTGGTCTTTTTAAGGCTGAAGCCAACAATGACTGAGGCCCAGATATAATTAATGTGGTCCTGGGTCAGTGCTGGAATTAATTCAGTTGCACCCTGCACAGACAAGTCTTCAAACAGGCTGCATGTCTCAGCGATACCAGAAGACAAGATCTTCTTGTCTAAGGCTCATGTCCCACTCTGGCAGAGCTCATTTTAATGCACAGACATCTATATTAGCTTTTCCTAACAGTCTCCAGAAGGTTAGGAACATTATGGCTCTTTGTTCTTCCAACTACAGACTGTCCCCATTTGCTTTCAGAAGTCCAGGAGCTGGAAACTATTCTGTCCTGCTCTGGAAAATGGCAGCTTTTAATTCTACCTCTTTATGTTCCAAAGCAGGGAGTATTATTGCTTCCCACCATACACTTCATTTAAAATACGCATATAAATAAATAAAAATCATATTAAAAATGCACAGAAGTGAGAGCTTTGTCCAAGGACAAAATAAAGAATCTGGGAAAGTCAAATCTGCCTGCTTCCATTTAAACCAGGAGGGCAGAATGTTTTTTCTATGGCTACACACACATTAATATGCTGGGAAGTTCAAGCACAAGGCCTCTATTTAGCAAGACAACATTTGCAATTTGAACGAATGAAAACCATTGTAGCAATTTGTTTGAATATACTTTAAATGTAAGTGAAGTTTGTAAAGGTAAAGCTCGCACTCACCTCAGCTCGAAGTTCATCCAGGTCCCTTCAGAAGAGCATGGCTGCTGCTGGCACAGCTGTGCCAGTGCTGCTCTGCTCTTGAGTGCTGCCAGGTGAGGAGAGGGGCAATGTTTCTGTTTCACAGCTCCACAGAACATGGGGAGCTGCAGTGCTCTTCAGGAGGGAAAAAGAGGCAGCCTCTTTCATTAGTACTGAGGGTGATAACCACCTTAGGCCCTGGTGCTGGGTGTGCTGTCCATCGGAACCACTAGTGGATACAGGAGTGAGCACAGGCCTGCGGTACACACTCCATGAAAAAACAGCCACCCGGTACGAGCTGATGGGGTTTGGCATCTCCCGTTTTCCTCAGTGCCTTATCGCCCTCTGTTGTTACACCCGTCACACTGTACTGTGTGGACCGTGTGGACAACGGGAAGCTCGGCTCTGCTCTCGCTTTTTCGCTACACCATAGCAGCGCTGCGGGAGCAGGGCACAGACCTACGCTGGGACACGCCATCAGCAAACACGTTTTAAAAGCAGCGCTTCCTCAGAACTCTGCTGTGAACCCACGGCCCATGAACAGCCTCCTCGCGGGGAACCGCAGCTTTAACTCCCCCAGCCCAGGCTTCAAACCAGTGAATCCAAGTGCTCCTCACAGCCAATAACCAGGGCCTTACAGCTTTTCCCCAGGCACTGCTGGTGGTGCATGTATTTATCGCTGCTCTCTGCTCCTCCCCTCTGTGCCCTTTTACTTCATGTGAACATTCCTCATTTGGCCAGTTGACCAAGTGACCTGAGCAGGAGCGGAGCCTTTGGTGATCACAGCTGCTGCTGATGCTCTCATCACAACAATCGCCTGCACATGAAGAACTCAGCCTTGTGCCATGTCCTCGTTCACCCTAGGCAGACGTTTTGGTTCAGAGCAAGGCATGGTTTCTGCAGATGTATCCTGAATGAATCCACAGAGCTTCCCTCCCCCAGCATTTCAGTACATGAGCTTATTCAATAATAAAACAGGAATAAAACTCATTTCTGAGTTGGAAGAACAGAGTGTTCTCAGGATCATTTATAATGAACATTTGTTATGACTGGTACAGAAAAAATGAAAACATAAATGGGGCGTGGATACACTTTTTCAGGAGTTAGCCTGAAAATTATGTAGTGATTCTTAACAGGAAGGGTCTGATTTGTCTAGTGTGAGTTCTCCATACATCGTGTTGTACTTGGCTAGAGTGCTATTAGGTGAATTTTAGTTACTTAGTTTGCGCAGTTCATTTAAAATAAGCCTGTAGATCTAACTAAAGTCCACCAACATAAGCTGTAACCCTAGATCTTACCTGACAGGATAAGCTGTCTCAGGATCTTTTGAACCAGAGATGTATTATTTATGCTGTACGTGCCATGCATGTGTATTGTGCTCTTAGCCAGAGCTATAGCTGGAGTCTCTCCACTCACTGGAGTGTTTCACATTTACAGCCAAACACTGGGAGCAAGCATGTGCTCACTGTTCCCATTTCTCAAGCATCAGAATACCCAGCACGCTGCGTGCTGTGGTTTTGCCCACACAGCAAGGGCTGTAACATGGACAATTAGCATGAGAATTGGAGGAAAGCCACTTTCTTCCTTAAAATCCTGAAACTGCCTTTGAATTCCCTAGGTTCCAGCCTAAGGTGGCATTCAGCTGTTAGGCTAAAGAGAAAAGGTTTGATCAGCTGCCCACAACAGCCAGCAGTTTTTCTATGAAATCCTACATCAGAGGAGTGCTCCAGGCAGCAGCCAGACCGTCTGTGAACATCCCACCCCTGCCCTCTGCAACATGCAGTCTTCAGACTAGAACCAAAGCAAGCTGCTGAGGATGTACAGTGAACATCCCTGGGAAACTGAGAGTTCGCTTTTCCAAACTCCTTAATCCTGGGGAGGAAAATGAGTGCCTGATTAACCACGAGGCCATCTGAAGGCTGCTCAGCCTGCCAGGGAATCACGTGTGGTGTTTGTCCTTATCCAAATGGCTGTGAAGTTTCACCATGGTTTTATTTTTGTAGCAAAGCATGACAAAGAGGGCAATCCTCATTAAGGTATTTCCTGGGGTTTTGTCACCCATTATGATGAGCCAGAGCCAAAACCTAAACACTACATCAAGTTTCTCTGTCTTCTATCATATTATATAAAATTCCCATCATTTTGTGGACATCAAACACTTCAAAATATACAAATACTTTAATACACACAAGTCTTCATAGTCCATTAAATATAATTAATTCCATGGTCTTCAAAATAGTCTATCACTGTATTAACTGTAGGAAAAAAGTTTGCACTGGTATTTATACAGTACTGATTTGATCTGGCCTATGCAAAACCTTCAGCACACCGCAGGGATTAAAAAGAGCAGCAATTCCACTAAAATCTACAGCTTTTGGGGTCAGAGCCAAACAAAGGAAAGATACTATCAGGAGATTAGCAAGGGAGAGTGATTACAGCTGCAGGGGTTAGCGGCAGTGCAGATAGCTCATACAGAGACAGTACACTGGCTTCCGATTTAGATGCACTTCTGGCAAGTCCAGTGCACCCTGCTGGAGAATCCCACTGAAATGCTTTGGGACAATGCAGCATCCCACAATATGGGTGCAAAAGGAAGAAGAAATTGTGGTGCAGCTTGACTACTGCAACCGATGTCTTCTTTTGACACTTGATTCCCCAGGAAGCTGAATTAGATGATAAGAAGATCTACTGCTTTTTTGCTTTCAAGTGGTAAATGTCTTCCCCTGTATCTCCAGCTGGTACCAAACTTACCAAGTGGAAACAATCAGACTGGTTTAGCTGATATCCCGCAGCTGGGACCATTCTCCTTCATGAGCTGTTAACTCATGCTGTTGTAAAGCATGAATTCTATTTCTCAATGAAATCTTCACAAGAAAGATTTACAGCTTTGCAGAAAAGCAGCACAGAGCCCTCAGATGTGCCTGAAGGAAAAATGCAGATCCAGCACTCTCATGCTTTGGGCTTTTAACAACGTGCATGGATTGGTTTGGAGCACAGTCCATCAAAAGAGGCAATAACACCAACCCTAAGATAAAGAGGTCCCAGTAGTCGTGGCAGGATGTACCAAGATGGAAATTGATCAATAAGAAATAAATATATATATACACACACGTACATACATACATATTTAAGATATATACTATATAGTACATATATATAGTGTATTGCATGTGTATATATAATATATGTATTTTGTATAAAAAAGCTTCACATTCAAGTATAGATACATATTAAAATATAAAGAAAGGAGGACCTTTCGAAGATAACCTGAAATAGAAAATCTGTCATAAGCAGAATTCTTATTAGGATCATCAAGACATGTTTGCCCTAATTTCAAAATGCAGATGGTTCGTGAGAAACACAACCTAAAGAGAGGTGAGAAAAAGGGGAAAAAAGTGATAATGGAAAATGAGATGTAGTGTCAAATACATCAGTATATACATAAATCCTTTCCTTAAAATATCCCGTACTTGGAGGGAACAAAAGCGATGTTTTAATATGAATTCATAATATGGTCCCTCAGTTGTTGTGGCTTTTTTGTAATCATCTTAGCCAAAGGAAAAAGATATCTGAATGATCAGAAGGGTTGCAAATCAAACTAGTACCGTCAACCCTAAAAGGTAGTTCACAAACCTTGACATGAAATATGGCTCATGCAGCTTTGTTCTGCACCTAAAATATGAAATGTATCATGAGTAGAGAGAACATTGGATGGAAATTCTGAACCTCAATTAGCCCTGCATTGATTCAATGTCTGACCAGAAATTCTCTCAGTGGCCTTCATCTTCAGACTGTTGAAATTATGCTCACATAATCAGCAAGTAAATCACCCTGACTTTTACAAACAATGAAAACACTAAGTGTATCTAACTCTGCAAATCTACAAGTCATCACTTTGTTTGGCAATACAGTACAATCTGGAACTGTGATCAGAGGTTTATGCAAAGAAGGCATGGCAAAATACAGCCACAGTCAATAGGATGATGCCATTGATATTCACAACATTTCTCCAAAGTGGCACTTCACTTGTGTCAGTCAGTTTCTTCTTCAACGCTTCCTCTTCCTCCTTGCTCAGTTTGGGTGCTTGTTGTTGATCTAAGCCACAGAACCAGTTGTATACTCTCTTCAAGCATCCTGGTTCTTCTCTTTCCTCATGAACTGGAAGGAATAACACACTGGTCATGGAATGGACCACTGCATACACTAGAAGATCCCTGTGACTGAGTGTCCTGGGTTCCGAGTTGCTGGCTGGCCTTAAACCACGACACTGAGGACACTCCTGTATTTAATCCAGCAGTTCTGCTTTATGGTCATAGTTACATGGAAACATTTTAGTACAGGACAGTACAGGAATCAAGTTAATATTGTGTTTTCACAGCTCATCTGGAAAAAGTGATTTCCCACATGTTGCAAGAGAACCTTGTGCAAAAGACACTTGCACCTTTGCAGCCTAGAGATTTGGTTTCATGCTGGAGAAGCACACTGTGCTGCAAAGCTTGAACTCTTTTTTTTCAATACTTTCTACACTCTGAATTAAAAGGCATGTGGATGAATTTGAGCATAGTTATGAAAAGGAACTTGGGAGAAGAACCACGAACCAGCTAAGAGAGCAGGTCGTTTTGCCCAGATGGATGTCTGGCAGTTCACTTTCATGATGCCTTGCACCAGATCGCTGCTCCTTCAATCCTGGCTACTGTTTCCAAGTGAATTCTGGTTGTTTCATTCCAAGTGCTGGAGCTGTGGGCAGCTCTGCCAGTACACACCACCTCTCACCTAAAGCATCTCCATTGGTTTAGTCCAGCACTGCCACCTAGCTACATAGAGAGCAAGATTTTTCTCCTTTCAAATCCACTTCACTTCTGATTTATGCTAGGCTTGTTACATTGCTAAAAGGCAGCTTACTAGGCATTTAAATATGTGGGGTTTGTGTTATTGTTGTCTGGGCGGGTGGGAAGATGTCTTTAAATATCAAGCATGTTAATGTTTCTTCAGGAATGAAATAGAGATACACAAATAAGTTGATAAAATCTCTACATATTCAGCAGTTACCTGATTCCTCGTCTTTTTCATCAGCCTTGGTCTCCTCCTCATCTGCATCAAGATCAATACGTTCTTCTTTGCTGTTCCGTAAAGACCAGCACAAGCGGTAAAGCTGCCATGAAACAAATGAGTTTATGAATTTCGACACAGGGACAAACCAGCCTGGCCAGCACATGAGCAAGACCAAATGTTTATTAAGTCAGTGTCTAAGATTATTAGGAGTTACTGAAGACTTCTGCCAGACAAATGAAGACTAGTTCACTGGCCGCCTTACATGGACTATGTGAAGTGGGTAGCTGAGATGTCAGGAGCTAATATACCAAATACCATTTATAATATAATACAAATAGTGTTTAAACCTAGCAGTTTCATTGAGTTCCTCTTCTTGAAGAGCAGGAATGCAGTAATACTCACGTGTACATCAGGGATGGGTTTAGTCATGAAGGAGACTGCCAGAATGACAATGGCTGAAACCCCAAAAAGGATGATTGCAAAGTAAAGGTAGTGAATCCCACAGATGATGAATGGGCATTTGGAAGGGGTCACACAGCTGCCAGTTCCGTAGGCAAACTCTGCAATCATTCTGCTGAGTCCAGCCAACAGCCCAACTATCAGGCCCCAGAAGGCACCCTGCAGGCAAGGTGACAAGTTACCAAAAGAAGTAATTTCAGGCATGGAAATAGCTCTAAACTCTGAATAGTTGCTGAAGAAAACATGGAGGTCGTTATGTGTGAAGTGGGCTTTGGCACGTGGGGTTTACCCAGATACTTCCAGTGACCGTATTTACAGCTCAGTGTATTAATATCACCGAAACTTTGTTGTTGAACTCAACTCCTTAGAGCACAACTAAGCAATAGCCAAGTATTGGTATTCCTAGTATTACAGGAGAGAAACTGAATTCCTGAGTACTGAGCTTTCAGAATGTCTGAGACCTCAGTTACCACGGCTGGCCTATGGTCCTTTAAAAGCATGTGACAGACCTCATGCCCTTCTAATGACTTACAAAGGCTCAAGTACAATATTTCTCAGTTCACTGCTCTATGAATCAAAATCAGTTATTCCCAGACTAGGTCCTAAAAGCAGTGGGAAACAATGCATGAAGCAACAGCAAGTTGTTTAAAAGAGCATTGACAAAATATACAGTGGTCCAGAGGAAGGTGAAAGGTGACGTGTAGTAAAGCAGTTTGTGATCAATAGGCTAAGAGATTACTTTCAAATATGTCTCCATAAATTATCCATGTGACACGCTTCTTGGCAAAGTGACAGATAACCCAAATTTCAGAGCTATGTAGGAATTCCTAGGTGACTGTTTATGTATCAGATTAGCAAGGAACTTTTTCAAACTCATCTCTGAAACCTCAGACCCTAATGTGTGAGAACAGAATCCCTGGACTATAACAGGGTTTAAATAAACAGGAGGAAGTTGTTAATAAAAGACACTAAACCAAACCAGGCAGTTCTCACAGTGCCTAAAGGAACATGCAGCATTCCTGTTTCCTAATTTGTACTTACCGGCTCATTGACCCGCTTGCAGAAGACGGCAAGCAGGAAGAGAGCAGCAATGGGAGGTCCCAGGTAGCTGGTAACTGACTGAATATAATCAAAGAGCTGCCCACTTTGAGCTGATTGCACCACAGGAACCCAGGCAATGCTGATGCCAATTAAAAGTAACATAAATGACCTGTAAACACAGCCAGATATTCAATTAGTCACCTGCTTTGAAGCACCTATCAGACAGAAAAAAGCAGCAATTAATAATTTAAACGTCCATTTGGTATTTCAACCAGCAAAATCGATTGTAATGGCCAATGTCTATTGAATATACAAAAGAAATACAAGTTGGATAATGTCTGTCAACTGTCTGTCAGCACACAGCTAAATGTGCAATCAAAACATAGAACTCACTTTTTTCCTTTGTTTGTTATGTCCAGAGACAAATCAATAGTGAATCAACAAGAGGAACTAGTTCACTGATGCTGTAGTATGGTGTAGCATAAAGCCTATGAAGATAACTCAAAGTAGTTTCCTTTGAACAGCAGTAGGAAATGTTGAGAATTACTTTAGCTACTTCATTCACTGGCAATTAAATTGGAAGCAAGGGGGCATTTCCACCAGGAAAGGGTGCGGTGACCACAGGGGGCCACTGCTGCACTGCCCACACCCTGTGGGAGCAGGTTTCCTCCCAGGCTCTGTATGCATCTAGTGCTAGCTGTTTGTACCGCTGGAGGAGGCTTGGCTGCACTTACCTTCCTGCTAACATAAGCTCTTTCTCAGATGGTCGTGTTCGAATCTTGGTGTAAATGTCCATAGTGAAGAGAGTACTAGCACTGTTGAAAATGGAAGTCAGGGAGCTCATAAGGGAGGCCAACATGACTGACAACATCAGACCCCGCAGACCTGCAATACAAAGACACATGAACTGAGCTGAGGGTTCTGTGAGGGGCTCAGTATGTGGCACAGGCCTGTGTGGCCCTTTCAAGCCAGGCAGCTCTGAGTGTGTCTGGCTCATTCATGTGCTGATGCCTCTCACAGTGCCAGCAGGGTAATGCCTGCTGAGCTTTGGAAAAGCTGCCTACAGCAGTGACAGGGCAGCTCAGGAGCTTTTGGAGCATAGGTACTTCTTTTGTGAATGCTGCCTGATTAAGTGCTGACATAACTAAGCAGACTGTACCCTACAGTTACAAAACCGATTTCTCTTGTTTGCAGGCAAACGCTCACTTGCAGTACCTTTGTAAACCAGTTGCTTGGCAAAAAAAGAAGTTTCTTTTACTGTTTGAAAACCAGAGTAAGCCACTTTTCCAGATGGCATGATTCAGTCAACACAGTGTGAGGAAGTACTGTAGTATTTTAATAATCCTATGTACAACAGTTCTAATACAACAGCAGAGTACTGAAGATACCAGGGAAGTACCCTGGTGTGTAAAACCCCAATCTGTCTTTGTAGCCTTCTGGACCAGAAAACCTCTGATTTCCTGCAGAAAAACATGCACCTTGTGGTGCCTTGTTCTCTCATTGAACAGGTTTCCTGGGGGACAATGTGTACCTGGAATATTTTCTTCTCCCACCTCAATGGCTTTAGCAGAAGGACTCCAGGTGTATGCCTCCAACTCAGAAACCCTGGCAGAGACAGTTTCTGTAAATCATTGGCCAAAGAGGTTGTGTTTGACCTTCTCAGAAAGGGAGCTCAATTCCCATTTCATCACCGAGTATTTGTAGCTATTCTGCACCTACAGCTACAACTAATACAGGCTGTACTTTGATAGCAGTACATAATTCTAGCAAGAATTTGGGAACTAAATATGGGACTTGGGCTCCACCTGATTTTACAGTCTGTCAGCCTCACCCTTCCTAAAGTCACAAACACAGGCAGTATCCTACCTCTTGGCATAAGCTCCACTACCATCTTTGGATAAGCAATGTTTGTACAGCCAACTGCAGTGCCACAGGCCTCCTGACAGACTTCAGGTACAACACAAGCCACCACATCTGAGGAGAGAATAGTGAGACAGGGTTAGACAAGGTCATATAAACAACAGATTGCTCCCAAATTAGTAGAGCTTCCAAAATTTATCTCTGTGTTGAATCACTGAATTGACATGCTTGATATCATCCTAGGTCTGCTGGCAAGGAGGAAGGCTACCCTAAGCCTCTATCTTTCCTTTCCTCTCTGAAAGAATACTGAAAAGTGCTTCAGGTCAACAAATCAGCATTGGCTTGTCAGACCAGAGCTGACCAACACAAGGAGAGCAAGTAGAAAAACAAGCCAAGGAACACAAAGACCTCTCCCTGCAACCTGAACATCTCTCCCTGGCCTGCTGTTAAACATACTGATAGTTAAGAGAGAGGGGAGATGGGCCTTCCCCCCATGCTGCACTCAGGACTGTCTGTGGCCCGAAGAGCTGCTGTCTGAATGATGATGCTCTTCCTCTGACTGCCAGCAGAATGCCAGTCCTGGACAGCATTTTCCACTATTCAGCCAGAGTGGGCTCTAACAAACAGATAACTGGGGAGAGACACTGTGGAATTTCTCCCCTAAAACAGACAGCAGTAGGATTAGCAGAAACCTGGGATCACGGAAAAGAGGAAGACCTGTGGCTTCTTACAGTGTAGTTAGTCTTTGTGCATACATGTGCGTGGGCAATTTGGATGACAAGATGATAATCTAACAGGTGTTTTGGAAGGGACAAAGAATAGGAAATTGAGATTGGCAGTGAAAGACAGGCAGCAAGAAGAGATTTGCACTTCCATGTACACTTGCATACCTGTATACAGAATTCGGCTGATCATTCCAGGCATCACTATGATAAACATGGGCAAGAGTTTCAGGTATCCACACATGACACAACCAGCCTTCACATGAGACATGTTCTTGCCAGAGAGACATCTTTGGACAATAACCTGTCAATGAGACATGACTCAACCAAGAGCAGCATTCCATGAACACATCATGACAAGTTCAAGGAACAAAGTACTTCCTACCCTCAGTGAAAGTGCCTATGTTCTGTTTCTGTCACTAGGGAAAATAAAAACTACATGAAAATCTAGGGGTATATTTGAAATAAGTAAAGGTTGTAGGGAGAAGGGAGGAAGATTGAGGAAGCATCTCCAGACTGAAAGACTTGACAGATAAAGAACACCCTCCCAAGACTGTGCATGCAAAGATGAAAGCTGCACAAATAGGTATTACTGAATGGGGAATCGTATCTAGACCCAGTCATTTGATGCATGGTTTCCTAAGCTAATGTTCACATAACAACCTCTCTGTGTTTTTACATATGGTCACACACAAAACATTAGAAAGGAATTATACACAGTATCTGCTGGGCAGAGTGCATAAGAACAACTGAAAGAACACCCGTTCCATCGCATGTGGGAAGGGTTTAGACTGACCAGTTGTGAAATAAGTGCCATTTGTGTGACCCAGCTGTGAATCACAGTGGGGAAGGAGCACCCCTGGGTCACACCAGACTGCAGAGTTTTGTGTTCAGCATTTCCAAGGCAGATGGCTTCCACATTACCTGATCTGTGCACCAGTACCACAAAGCAATGATGCTCAAACCAAAGATGAGCGCTGGCCATGGCATATCTCCAGTGACGGCATCTCGAAAGATGTGAAAGGCATCCTTCCGAGGAGTGTAGCATTGTGGATCTATTGTAGTATTCCCATAGGAGATATTGGATGGAATTGCTTCCATGTACTTCCGCATGAAAGCATCATACCCTCCTACTTCAGCAAATGCTGAAAAACAGAAAGTGAAAGTAGTGATCAAGTGTTTAATTCTAAAATCTCATATAGAGCTAGAGAAAGTGAAGAGAAAACCTCCTGAATATGGCTGTACAGAGCCCCCAGCCAGCGCACAGCATCCCTGTCAGGAAGCAGCACATGGTGTCTGTAAGCACACACAGTCTAAGTACCCAAGTGACCTTTCTTCTTAGGTTTCTGCATAACTTGCAAATGTTGGGCTAGCTCCACTGTCTCCACATTTCTTACACGTGCCTTGCCAAGAAGTGAATTGACCACACAGTATTTCCACACACTGTTAAACGTAAGCAGGACCTAAGGCAGGATCGTACCAGGTTAGGTCAGGTTGAAGTTTCTTATGTCATAACAGTGGTGGAACAATTTCATTCCAGTGAAAGACCCAGCTAGGGTAAAACCAAGCACTGAGTACCTAGGAGATAGGGAAAGGACACTACAGATTCTTGCAATCTTACCACTACTTCTTTCTTTCTTACAATCCTTCCAATTCTGTTTAACAGTATGATTTCTGGTGTAAAAAGCATATGGACTTCTGGATACACACACTGTCCCATTCATAAACATTCAGTTCATATCTTCTGTCCAGCTGGCAATATAATGATGTCCATAGATCAACTACAAGGCTTACTTAAAGTGTTGATATGTTTGCTTTGTTTTAACACAGGCTAGCAGCTAGAAACAAGCTAAAAAACATGCAATGGGACCAACAGCTTTTCACTCTGAATCAGAAATGTTCATGTATTAGCATCTGAATATCTATGAAATTGTAATCTACTCGAAACAAGATACTCTCTGAACTTCTCAAGAGCATCGTTATCACCTGCAAACAACTCTGCTTTTACCTCACTAGCCATCACAAGTCCTGTTCTGTCATGGCGTGCTAGTTATTACCTTACACATTCACGTGTGCTTTGGAGATGGAGTGGTCTCAGTGACTGAAAGGCTTGGCAGTATGCCTTGTTTCAGCAATGTGCCTATTTTCTTCCGTGACAAATAGGAATAAGAACTGAAATCTGCTAGTCAAGATAAGAGAGTTCCACACTGCAGGATCCGTTTTCTTAGCCACTGTGGGATTTGTGGTTGAACATTCCAGTTTAATTCATCTGATTTACTTACCAAATCCCATAAGAATAAAGGATCCCACTACCATGATAAATGTTTGTAAGGTGTCAGTGTAAATCACAGCTGCAAGGCCACCTAATGGCAAAGAAAACGCAATACAAATACATTAGTCCCTGTGGAAATGCCTCAGTGGAAGTCCTGATTTTGTAATTTTCTCACCACCTCTCTCTTTCAAACAAAGACCACTGTAAATAACTCCCCTTCCAGGCTTGCATTCGCCCCCTCTTACCCACCTCCCCTCTTCTCTTTTTCTCTGTCTCCCCTAACTTGTTTGATTTATCAGACTGCTCTGCAGACTCACCTGTGATGGTATAAAGAGCTGTAATAGCAAGCAGGATAATTATGGCCAAATAAAGATTCAGGCCTAGGGCCAGATGTATAAATACAGCTCCAGAGAATATGTCTGCCTAGAAAAGAAAAAATGGTAGCTCAAGCAAGGTTTCCATTTGGGAAGATGGTATATCACACATTCACGATGAGGGTGCTGAAATACACAGATCCCGTACAGCGCTGCACCCCCAGAAAGAACCCAAAAGAAAATAGAGGCCATTTTAGTCCAACTGCCAGTCTCCTCTCAGCGCTGTGGTGCTTTCAGTACAAGAGTTGTAACACTTCCCAGAGAACCTCCAGGTCTTTCTCAGTGGGGCATGTCAGCAGGACATGGAGACACCTCACTACTCTGCTTACATGGAGAGACAGCTTAATAACCAGTTCCTTAAACCTGAGGTTACACTTGCTGCTCTGCACAGGGATGGACTCTGACACCTCCAAGACACAGAATGGTTTCCTTCATGTAATGCTACTCTGTAAGTCACTTATTTTTCTTTATTGCTCGCCCACGTGTGGTATAGCTCGTCTTGCCGGTTCAGGACAAATGGTGCATTTGCATTAGAGGCAAACATACCTCTAGTTTTAAGTTCCTGTCAGAACAACTGACATCAGTTGGCTAACAGAAGAGACCTTTAGCTCTTGCATAAGAAAGGAATTGTTCAGGTTTCAGAGCAACACTCTGGGATTTTAATCACATTAAATCAGTTCCTGATGTAGAGATAATTTGCATCAATGCTATATACCCAAGTTTGCAATCAAAATAATCTACTCCAGTGCACTTGTAATGCATTACTGTAAATTATGCTTTCATTTGAGTTTACATCTGGGCCAATCCTTTCTCCTGAGCATCCAGGTCCTGGGCTCATCTCCACTCCCACCTTCATGCCTCCTTCCTGTATACCACAGCACCTATACAGGACTCTGTGCAGGGAATCCTACCCCCATTTGACAGTACAAGTCAGCATTCAGTGACCTCAGGAGCTGCAAGATGTCCATATGCAGGGTTTGAGAAACAAAGATAAACACCATCACATGTGCCCTGGGGTCAAGCCTGCACACACAACTGCTGCAGGGCAGCTCAGCTTGGTGGAGGAGCAGGAGTTCCACAGGTCAGGCTGTGGGCAGCCAGAGCCTGTGATCACACAGCAGGCACTGGCACCACTTTGGTGCAGGCTAGGCTGAGGTAAGGCAGGGCCTATACACTAATAAGCAGTTACAGAGTCCGGCTAGCTGGGAGATGTGGGATGAAGAAACCCTCTTCATTCCAGAGACACTGAAACCGAGACTGGGGGGTTATGATCACACCCTTAGCTCACTCTGAAGAATGAGGAAGAGGTGAGGATCTCTGCAGAAAGAGACTCTCCAATCCTACTGCCCTCACATGCAGAAAGCAATGTGAAGCAAGAGCGTTAATCACAACAGGGGTCCCACTCCCAAAGCTCTGCCTCTGGAGCGGCTTGAGACTATTTGATTTCTTATAGGCACTAGGAACCATGACTTCTAGCTCTTATCCCCAGTGGCTGCTAGACCATATCCTTTGTCCTTTCTCTCTGCTGTAATTAACTTCCTTCCTATCATCTTTCCATACCATTGATCAGGTTGTGTCCCAGATCTTTTTTTTTTTTAATTGTTCTTGGCTTTAGTTTAGCCTAAATATCATTAAATTTTAATGGTCCTAAAATGACACCCCAGAAAGAAATGTATAGTTAATTATTTAGCGTCCTGAACTATATAACAGCTCCTGTAAATTGCTGTTACCTTCCAACTTCACTGTTCCTCCTTCCCAATTAGATTATTGCCTTCCAATATGTCCTTGTTTCTCCATTTATACTTTTTTATGGACACTGTTTAATCTTTACCTTATCTCTGAATAGAGTAAACCTTTATACTGTCATTCCAAAACCATGTGCAGATCATGCAGGAAAAACTGGCAGAGCACGTGCCAGCTGAGTGAATCCAGCTGCAATGCTAATGTGGGAGTCAAGACAGTGGCACATGCTCTTTATCTTTACCCCCTAAACCATGCAGCCTTAAGAGAGAGTTATCCTTCCCCTTCCTCTTCCACCTGTAAGTCTATGCCCATACATTTACTACTGAAGTTATGCACAATGAATGGAAAGAAAATGCTGTAACACATTTGGAAATCCAAGTCTGCAGTTTCTGATTTCTGCAAAAGCTTTCGGATCTTAATTCCCTTTGGTTTGTCATAACTCAGTCAATTACTCTCCATCAAGATTTCATTTTTACTAGGCCATTTTTTTTTTGGCATAATGACTGATTGACTGATATCAGCAACACGAATTGCTAGCAAGGCCCTGAGAGCTGCTACAGGCACTGCTTACAAAGCACTGCATGCTTACATGTGAGGTGCCTGTGCAACAGAAATGCTTCAAGCTTAAAGATCTTGTGTGTCCTGACCCCAAAGATCAACACCTTGCAGCATGACCTCGTCTTGCAAGTGGCTGATTAGACACAAAACAAGATAAGAAATCAACAAAAAAATACACAGAAAACGTGCAGGAAAAGAGAAAAGGTGTGCAAAGGGAATCTGAGCATCACATGGTGTTGGGCACTGTGTCAGAAAGAGCACGCCAGGACTCACACAACCTGACACGGTCTATTGTTCATTGCAAAGCACCATAATAATTATATTATTAAGAACATTAGGTATTTCCACATATCAAAGAAGCAGCATGTGAAATACCCACCCCAGAAACAAGATGCCATTCATCTACAAGGATAAATGGCAGTGAGTATCACTGCCAGACAAACTGATAGGTGTGACTGCCTGTTAAGGGCAGGGCAGAAACCCATCCTATACCAATTCTCAATAAGCCCTGAAGATCACAAGGGAGTGTTTGCAAAGGCAGCAGTCAAGGAAGTAAGATGCAAATTTCCAAGCTGACTATGACATGGGCTGTCAACACATGGGTATGTTCACATACACAGCATGCCTCTGGAAGAGACACCTGTGCTGGCTTCACACAGCAATCATATCCACATCACAAAGCTAGCTGTGGTCCAGGATGGAACAGCTTTCCCTTTCTGCTTCTGGAGCTGGCTCATCTGGACACAATTAGGGCCTGGTGTTGCATAGCACGGTATAGAAACACCTACTCTGACATCTTCTGACGGTGTCTGAAACCTCCAAGCACTCTGTTGTGCCTTTTCTGAATAAGATATGGCAGGTAAATCAGACCTAGGCAAACCCTGCACTACCGAACAGAGTGAGATAAGACAACAGTGCAGAAGACATGTTTGTATAGTACAGGAATCTGAGCCATGTTTGTATACAGGGCAGGCACTGTCAGAGTTGTTCTGGGCAGATGGAGGAAACAAGAGAAATGCCTAGAGGAATTTGTGCACCAGATTTTCCCCCTGCATGGCACAGAGCTGCAGCTCCATGGCAACTCCCCATGCACATCTGGAATAATTGGGTTGATGGGAAACTGGAACAGGCCACTGGTTGAGTGCAGCCCAGCTAAACTGCTGCTGTATAGATCTCTTGACTATTGCTTTGCTTCCTAATAAGACAGGACCACAGAAGCAGGAGAGAGTTCTTTGGCCTCCTGACCACACTCGATGCAAGGCCAAGGCAATCCAACTGAAATGGGGTGAAATGCCCTGACCAGACCCCTAGGTGTGGTAGAGGCTGGAAATAAAGATAGATAGTTAATTCAGAACCTTGTAACACCTTGATGGCTCATTACAAACATGTGTTGCAGAATAGTACTGTAAGTCATCTGACTGGAGGAGTTTCTTGGCTGCTAGAGCTGCCAGCACTCTGTCATACCTGGGATTTCTGATTATGGTAGTTAAACACTACAGCAGCAAATTAACAACTCCACAGTACCAACCTGTTTAATTTATAACCTTTCTAAGGATTGGCTGTCAGGAAGATGTGAGAATGAGAGCAAAAGGCCAATCTTTTAGCTTAAATTGCACTATTATCACTCAGCTCCCATTCAGAGGGCAAAGAGTAATCTGCCATGGCAACTTCTGCAAAACAACAGATTGAGGTATGCCTGAACTGTGGACTTCTTTAGAAGCTTGGTAGTTTCAAGATATAGCGAAAATACCAGTTCCCTTCCCTACTTGACAGCAACACAACCACTTACTTTATAAACATTAACTTCATAGCACCTTAAACTTTATACCAGCCACTTGCCCAGAAGAAGAAACTCTCCTCTCTTCTCCTTTCACCTCAGCTGTTATAATTCTCCTCCTTTCCATTTTCCCACTCCTTTGTTTTCTAATTCCTATTATTCTCTTATTCTCCATAGCCCTCTTGCTCTTTTCCCCCAACTGCATTCATGATGGCATGTTCACCAGAGGATGCTAAACCAGATAAATATGAAGTCTGGGGACTAAAAATCCTGCTACATTTTTCAGGGATCCCTAGAATCACAGACTGTAATACAATACAAGTTTCCCTCCACTCTGACTTGTTCTATAGGAGAGCATCATAAGTAAACCTTAAAACCTGAAAAACAGAAAGCACAACAAGCATCTGGAGACATTGCCAGTTCAACCAAAGGGTCCAAATCAGAAACAATTGACCAATTGTGTGAGCAATATTGTAAATGGGAGTTTCTTTTCTTCAGCTCAATGTAGGATGGAAAAAATGCTGTAGAAGTTTTACTTACTGAGATCTTTGTGAAAATATACAGGATCAGTGAAAGGACTGACAGGTAGACCTGAATCCGCTTCCCACCAAAACGCTTCTTCAGATACTCTGGCATTGTCACCACCTGCAGGGGAGGAGTTGAGGTTTCAGGTAATGGGGAACACACATAAAGCAAATTAGAGGAAGATTTTTGCTACTCAAACACTGTAAGAGTCACAGGGAGAGGAGCTGCAAATGCAGTTGCAAGGAGGAGTAGCTCCAGGAATCCCAGGAGAACAAGGAAAGAGTACCAAGTACTTCTCAGCTCAGATCTCTGAACAGACTCCTCACTTTCAAACAAAACCACACACAGTACAGTTCTAGCATACTGGGATCTCTTGCCATTCATAATGCTTTGCAACATTCGAGACCTGATCCACAAATATGACCAGCAAAGAAAAGCATAACATACTGTTTTGACTTACCCCAGCTTTGATGTAGATGGGTACAAACAGCCATCCTAGAACAACCACAAATATCAGAGCCTGTAGCCAAGACAAGATCAGCTGAATTAGTCTCCTCTCTCTAGCTAGTACTTCCAAAGCCCATTTATCAGGCCCAGTGGCAGCTAGAGACCATTGAAATCACATAAACCTGTGTGTTTTGGGGGTGAGATAGAAAATATTAAGGAAGGTGAAGTCTGCTACCTACTGCCATGGCATGAAGTCTGAGACCTACTTACTAGCATCTTGCTCTCAGAGCCTCTAATGCAGGTTACCTTCCCACCCAGAATCAAGTGTGCTGCAGTGGTGTGTTGTGACACCTGAAAATCTAGGTACTGGGGAGAGTAGTGCTTCTTTTGGTTATTGTTTTGATCATTAACTGTCTTCTGCACTGATCTGTCTGGATGGTTGTATGTCTTACAACAGCCCCACGTACGGTACAGGATCTACCACATGCATTTTGTAAAGTATTTTGTATCCCCATGTTACCACTTCATAATTTATTTTGTGTTACCATGTGTATTTTGTGTACTGTATTGCAGTGTCACAGTTTTCTGACTTAAATGGCTAGCCACTGCTTGTCTGATACAGAGTTGTACATATTTAAATGGACAAATCTAGAACAAAATCCTGCTCTCAGAGGTGCACTCTGCATTATGCTGTCCACAGGCCTTAAAGGGCTTTTTTAACTACATCTTTGGAGTTCTGTCCTTAGATCAAAACTGTAAGATGGACAAGAAATACTGCTTCTGCTGTCATACTAACACAAATTAGAAATCATTCCAGTGGAATAACAGTGATAGACAAGGCGATAACAGTCAAACCTGGTATCTCTTTTAAGAGAAGAATCACATTATACAGTCAAGAGCAGTATTTGCATCATATCTCTTAACCTGTATGCCAGTTCCACTGTAAGTAATAAAACTTAAAGAAAAGTAAAGTCATAAGTGATGAATTACACAGGGTATCTGTTCAAATACCCACATGCATCATTGCTTCTTCCTAAACAACAATTGTTGTACACTGTGTATTGATACTAGTCTACAGAGAATCTCCCGGGAGACGAAGTGTTAGAGGTAGGTATGTTTGAAGAAGGATATGGGTCCTAAAGCTTTGAATACCATGAAATTCTGAGCAATGCTTGTTCTGTTTCATTTTGCTTAGTTTTGGTACAATGAGAAGGGAAACAAGGTTTGGTACAGAATTAGTGTAATCAAATAGAGAAAGATGACAAATTAACTGTGCACATCTCATAGAGTTCATTTTAGCCTTTAGCCTTCTCCTTACATATTTATATCATACAAGTACTTGACTATTTGTAGCAGCCATCTACTTGCTAATGGAAAAAGCCAAATCCCTGAGGGTGGTATGCCTCTTTTCCTGTGTAGAAATAAGGGAAGTATTGACCTATGTATGCTCATTAAATTCTTTGTATAGTGTTAATCCCTTCTGTGAAGGTGAATTACACAGAACAAGGGCGTTATTATCCACACCCCACAGTGCCTGAGAATACAAGGGAATGGACTGAATCAGCTCACGTGAACCTCCATCCTGTTGCAGTTAACACCACTCCTGGTACCCCAAGTAGTTAATATAAAGTCAGCTTTGATATCTCTACCCTAGTCTGCAACTGTAAGCAAAACACACACAAGGAAGGAGAAACTAAAGAGGAAAAGAGTTTTGGAACGGTTGTGAAGGATGCCTAAGGTTTCTTACAGCCTGTGAAGAATTCACAGCCCCTGCGACAATTCTACACAGCACAATGCTGTGAAAAATACTGTGGATTACAGAACTGGTAAGCTCTGCCCAACCTCCTGCGGTCTGAAAGGGCTCTTTACAAATACTTTGAAAGTAACCACAAGATACGTACAGAGAAGAGAATCCACTGATTTGTTTGGTTCAAACATTCTCTAAAAATCCCCATTCAACAGAAAAGGGACATTAGGGACTGTAGTGATAGAACAAGGGGTAATGGGTTAAAATTTAAACAGGGGAAGTTTAGATTGGATATAAGGAGGAAATTCTTTCCTGTTAGGGTGGTGAGGCACTGGAATGGGTTGCCCAGGGAGGTTGTGAATGCTCCATCCCTGGCAGTGTTCAAGGCAAGGTTGGACGAGGCCTTGGGTAATATGGTTTAGAGCGAGGTGTCCCTGCCCATGGCAGGGGGGCTGGAACTTGATGATCTTAAGGTCCTTTCCAACCCAAACCATTCTATCATTCTATGATTTTTTCCCGGTGGCTTGGACAAGGACCAAGGAGGATGAACTAAATAAGAGATTACATTGGCACTTAGTAGTTTGTACAGAAAACAAGTGCTGCCAAACACAAACTTTAACAGTCTAAATTATTAGTCCTTGTTATTTTGATTAACTTCAGCAGAAAAGCTGATGTCACAAATACGTTCACTTAGATGCATGCCACTTACATTCCATTCATATCCTCCGATGGCAATTCCTCCAGCTGCTGCTGTTCCTGCTATTCCCACAAAATGTCCACTGCCAATGTTACTGGCAAATAGAGAAGCACCAATCTAGAAACAGAAAGAACAATAATTGATTCTTAGGTCCTGCTCATGGTTACTTGAAAAAATCATGTTCATTTGGCATTCTGAACTCATGCCCATCTGTCATCAAAGGGTGATGACAAAAATGACTGACAACAACTTCCTTGACAACTTTCAAGACTCTCTCTTACTGTTCCCCCTCAAACCTGACACTCCAACCATCATATTTACAACGATGAGAAAAACCAGGATGTTGCACAGGACTCCTTCCAGCTGAGTCAAACAGTTTATTACACAAATATAGGGTTTTAAATATTTGCAAAACTTGACTGACATTTGGATGATATCCGAAGAATTGGGGAAGATTGTGATCTGTCGTGCTCAAGTAGGAAACCATAAGTGCATATCCACTTGTCAGACTGGCGCTCGCTATTTCATATTCCACAGTCTGTGGAGCTAAAGGTATTACTGGTGAGAGCTGAACAGATTTTGTCCTTGGTTCATTTTCTGTCAAAAGCTGCGATTCCCAAATTGAATTCTGAAAGCTGCATGGAAGAAATGTCTGCTGAGAAAGTGCTTCTGGAAGCTACAAACACGAGCAGATCAAGGAGTTCTACTTAAGAAGTGCTGGATCTCCAAGAACCCAAATATTAGGAATTGCTGAACAGGGAGAGATTAAACAAAAAGAATGGTTTATGCTGGATTACAGACAGGCAGGAGCCATTCACAAAGGAGTCTGCCAAAAGATCCAATTCTCTATAAAATAGCTCAGGCAATAAAAAAGATAAAGAAAAGGTAGGAGCTTCATTTCCTCATAACAAAACTATTAAAGGCAGAAGAAATGCCTAACAATGATTTACAGGGTCAGACACTGAGGGACGTAGGGTGAGAATTCAAGCATGAAAAGGAGGTTGGACTGGGTATTGTGGGCAGAAGACATATGAGCCGGAGTAGTTCGGAGATGAAAAGAGGCGAGTGAACAATGTTTTATTCACTTCCATCTTTCCTTTATATCCTCTGAGAGCTACAAAGAAAAAAAGGAAATAGGGTTAAAAATCAAAGAAAAGCACATAAGCAGTAGGCAAAAGAACCTTTGCTGACCAGCTTCATTTGAGGTAGATCTCTCATGTTGGAAGATCCCAAGGTGCTTGAAAATAGGGGTTTTAGACATAGGAATGCAGGACCTGCATCTAGCACATTCTTCTTATGTAGCTGCCAAGTGCAGGTGGTTGGAACATGTTTTGAGTCACCTCACAAAAGGGAGAAATATTCCTTGTCTGCAATTCACTGAGAGAGTTTTAGGGTCCTAAAATATATATCAAGGGAATAGTTAAAAGTTTCCAGGTCTACAGGCACTGCAGTGGGTTCTTCAGTAGCACTGAAAATCAGTCAATCTTTCACGACCTCAGGGACGACTGCCTGAGATCCAGGAGGATAAAAAGGATTTCAGTTTAGAAATCCACCTCTGAATACCAGATTTATTCTACAGAGCTATGCCAGAGCCAGGAACAGCAACTCACAATCCTGATCTCTAATCACAAACCAGATCTCCTTCCCCAAGGTTTTATATGCAATGTACAAATAAAATTCATCAGAGGATTCCGCTTTCTTTGCCAAGCTTCCTTTTTCTCCTTTCCTCAGTTTGATCTTCTGATGTCTTCTAGTCTGTTTTCAGACAAGCTGTTCTTTTGCTGTGACAGGACATTTCTGTCACTAAGGTCACACAGTTCTGCAGTGCTGGAGTTTGTTTTCCCCCTTTTTACATGTTTCTAGAAGCCGGTTGTGCCCTACAGAAACGTAACCAGTTTGTCATATGGCAGATATTTCTGCAGGAATGATAAGTGTTGCAACAAGCATTAGCAAACAAGTCAGAGAGATCACTGAAAGAAAACCTTTTCTTCTAACCTCTTTGTGACAGCACCTGTGGTTTCCCAGCAATGATCACGAAGAAACAAGAACCATTTACACCAAGCATTAGCACTGTTCTCTGGTGCTTTCCCTGGAGACTGAATAATTAAACTTAAATCTAGGTTACCAGACATGCAGTCACCAGGAAAGATTAACCACATTAATATCTGATTTTATTTAATGTGTTCCCTCTCCTCTTTCAAAAGCTCAGAATGTTCTGCAAGCAGATCCACCTAACAAAAGCAGCTAATGAAGATCCTGAAGAACTGAGAGCTGTAGTAAGCTTTGGCTCAGTGCCTGACACCCCAGGCCATACTGTGGCACTCACTGACACTACAGTGCTCCCAACTCTGCCTGAGTACAACTGCATTGAAAGAAAACCATGAAACCCAACAAAACCAATGCAAAATTACCAAGATCTGTAGGGCCAGTGTAAAGACAAAACAATGTGAATGTAGATACCACACTTGCTAAATTCTCTTCTCTGAATTAGGGAACAGCCCATGCAGCAGAACTGTAAGATCAACACACGCAAATACGGATGCAACTTAAAACATGTTTTTTTCTTGTTATGTAGACATGGAAAGATAGAACTTGGCTTCATAGCTGGGAAGATGCCTGTTACCCATACAACTGTGGCATGGTTAAAGCAAGTGGAGTGTTTACCAAACGTGCTTGTATCCTGTTAGCTGCTGATGCCAGAGGGGAAAGAGAAATTCCTGAACTGCCACAGCAGTACTTTAAGGATAAAGTGAAGAAGGCGGATGGGCTCTGGGCCCAAGCTGTCTTGCTGAAGAGCTCAGTGCTGTGGTGTTTTTGTACTGAAATGGCTGTTTCCTGGAATTGCATGATTTGCCAGTGGAGATGCTGCAGTACACCTATGCAGTACACCTAAAGAACGCTGAGCTGAAACTGGGGTGGACAGAGGCAAACCACTGTTAACTGTTCTCAGTGAATGTGTTAGTGAATTGATTTTTAAACCCAGTCTATGAGGAAGAGTAAAGAAGAAAGTTGACTGAAAGGAACAAAAGCTGTTAAGAGGGAAAGAGAGGACAAAAACCTGCACTAACCTGAGGCAAACGTGGAACATTAACTCTTTTAAAATATTTTAAGAGATCAGGTTTTAACAAGAGTCCCCTGCTCAGGAAAAGTATCACCACGCTGCAGGCAGATTATCATCACTGTGTTTTTCCCATGTTATCCATTAACAGTTTCACCTTGCTCTTTTCATTAACCTGAGGATGCACTGACATCCAGTGCTTGCTGTTCCGTTCCACGTGCAATGTGCTCTTTAAGTAAGTGACAGCATGCACATTTTACAGCTTATGGCTGATACACATCCTGTGTCCCTCGTGTCCCCTTTCCTGTTGGAAAGTGTTAGCTCAGTTCCAAACTCTTTTCCCCCATCCCAAGCACACCTTGTCTGTGGCCTTTAGCCCCTTTACAGAGAAAAGCAGAGTCTCCCTTACATCAGCAGGAGGTCGTGAGCCTTGCCCTGAGGTATCACTTATCCCACGGGTCACCTGCAAACCTCTCTTCCCTATGCAAATTTCTCCCTCCCTTGTTGAGAAGTGCTCCTTGACACTGTCTGTGCTTTTCTTTAACTCACAGTTCTTCCCTACAACATGTGACAGATGGAAGAACATCATTTTTTCTACCTGAAAACTTTGGACAAAATAAGTCCCTACCTTTCACTTTAGATAAAGCAGTGCATTGCTTACAACGAAGTTTTACTGCCACCCTTTCAAGGCTTTGAGATCCAAATAAAGAAGAGTAGGGTTTTATTCTGCTTTCCCACTTGCTCTGCAAATTCTATGTACTGCACTACTGCCAAATCAAAACACATTTATGCACTTCCCAGTTCACTAAGCAAGAGAGTTGGATACACTGTACACATCAAATGTGTCTCTGTCTTCCAACAAACCCTGTAGCTGTTGGAACAGCACAGTTGCAAGCAGGCTGATCTGATACCTTTCTACCTTTGTCCTCTGAGGCAGAAACAACACTTCTCGTCCAGCTGGAAAATTCTGATGGATTCTGCAGAAATCTGTTGCACATAACTTTTCCTTTTCTACCAGAGCTTTGATTACTTCACTATTCTTCTTACTCTGAAAACTATCGATTTCATATTATTTTTTCCATGGAACTTGACAAAAGAAGTTAATTTCTTAGTCCACTTGACCTAAGAAAAGGAAACACAAACCTTATTCATATCAGAGTTTTCTTTCCTGGCCCCTCATAGCAGTGTCAGACTCAGCAAATGGCAACAATTCTGAGAACATGTAAAGCTTAACTGGATGCAGAGATGAAATCGTGCCAGTGGACAGTTCTGATGGCCATGGAAATGAGCCATGCAGAGCTGAAACAAAACTGTTGGGCTTTTTTCCTTACTTCTTACCTGTCCCACAAAGATCAGTGGGACATCAGTGACAATGGGAAATGGGTACAAACTGGAACACAAGAGGTTCCACTTAAACCTGAGAAGAAACTTCTTCTCAGTGAGGGTAGGACATACAGGCTGCCGAGGGAGGTTGTGGAATCTCCTTCTTTGGAGACATTCAAGACCCACCTGGACACGTTCCTGTGTAACCTTATCTAGGTGTTCCTGCTCTGGCAGGGGGATTGGACTAGATGATCTTTTGAGCTCCCTTCCAATCTCTAATATACTGTGATACTGTGACAACAAACAAGCTGAGTTACATTTCTGTTTAAAGTGTAGTATTCCTTGGCTCTGCACGCTTCCTACTTACTATGCAGCACATCTTTCTAACCATAGCTGGATTTCAGATGCCCAGCAGGTACTCTTTGTTCATTAGCATTTATGCCTCAGGAACTAAGGTATATAAGGTAACCCATAATTTTTTGCAGACAACTCTGTCTGCAAAACTACAGAAGCTGAGGAGGAAACTTAAAAAGCAGAAAAGCTGCAATATTTAAGCTTGATGGGGCTTGGGGTTTTAATTATTTATTTAAATCATGCATAAAACCCTGTAAACCCTGTGAGAGTGGCTGCTACAACAAAAGGCTGTTCTCCAGGAACTGATACTTCATGTCCTACAGTTTGCTGAACCTAAGTCCTTCATCTAACAAAACAAGCTAAAGTTCAGTCTGCAAGACCCCAGTTACAAAGCTGTCACTTTCCTTGAGCTTCTCTTTGTCTTTCTGGCAAAAGCAGAGCCGGCTATGAGTATCTGAAGAGCCACGTATGTCTTTCTGGAAGACATTTGCCTCAAAGCCCAAGAGACCAGAACCAGTTTCCTGAAGGTTCCTCTCTCATTTTCTGTAAAAGGACTGTGGAGAGGGCACAGCATTTCGTACCATTATGATTAACCAACAATGATTTCAATTTCTGGCAATCAGTGAGAATGTGATTCTATACCTTGATCCCTAATTAACTACTGGAACTACTGAGTTAGCACATCCACTGCACAAGGACAGTGATCCCAGTGAACTAACAGAGTGTCCTATTACGCCAGCAGAACAGCCAGAACAGACTAACTGGGGGCTTGGTTCTGCAAAACGCTTCCTCAGTTCTGCTGGAGCCAACAACTGGAGCCACAGCTGGACAGATTTAGCCAGGATAAGTGTTCTACTTTATACACTGAGGAATTGAATCTCAGTAACAATTACCAGGGTATCCTCTAATCTACTAAACAAGGACTATTACATCATTTCTGTGAATTGAATCCCTGTCTCAGGCTCCTCAGTAAGAGATCCTAATACACTGCTAATGACTCTCTTTCCCTGTGAGGTCAGAATAGCCACTTACACCTGCCCTGTAGAGCACAGAACATGCACAACCACTGAAAAATACCATTATTTTAAGGGAATTTGACTTTTCAAGTGTTTCAGAAAGCAGTTACACAGCAAGGCGGCTTATCCTGAATTGCAGGGAAGAACTATGATAAATAAGAGTCCACTTACAAAACCACTTCCCTCACTGCCTCCCATCTACACTCCATGGAAATGTATCTGGGCTTTCCAGAACCATGCCAAGCAAGTCCTGATGTGGCACAACATTAAAGTCAAAGCATAAAAGAAGTAAAAAAGTACACCCAGCATTAGCTGCTGCAGAACTGAGATCACATCTTTGACGGAACTTTCTGTACTTTCATTGGTTTCCTGGTCATCTCAGCCCAGTTTGCACTGGGTGATGGACATCCTATCTACCTGCTAAAGCATGGGAATAGGTGTTTTGGAATCTCTCCTTATCCAAGGCAAACTTTCCAAGGTGGTGCTGCTGACTTGGTATTTAGTTTGTGGTTTGAGTGCTTGCTCTTTGTTTATTCTGAATGATACCAGGAAGAATAGCAAGAAGGGTTTATTTTTCTGGTGCAGAAAGAAAGACAGTCCTGGCATTCCAAAGGGAAGGCCCAATGGGGTGGTCTAGGACTCCACTGATGACTAGCACTTCATCCATGCTGAGCTCATAGAGTTTGGGAAGGAGAGAGAGATGATCCTAGCAGCAACCACTGCACCCTGGGGTCATCCCTTTTGTTTCCCCCCTGAAGGACTGGAGCTTGCTGAATCTCTTGGGTTTGTGTTGGCAGAGAACTTACTGTTAGATAATCTTCCCTGGGTCTTAGGGGATTCATTAGGAATTCTCAGCGCTACTGCACAAGACAGCAGTTTTTTATGGTGAGTCCTTCCTGCCTTGTTTCTTCCATCTTAATTTACATCTGCACAAAAGGGTATTCATATTCACCCTTGACAGGCATACAAGAATTGCACAAGATAAAAACCAGCCCACAAACTAAAGTGATAGTTAAGCGAAGTAATCTGTTTGGGTTTCTTCTCTCCTCCTAGAATTATAGGATTTATCTTAACTTGGAAACTTCCTCTTTCCTTGATCTTCCAATGGGACCTACATTTTCTGAGATCTACTATACCAAATGAGGAAACTTCTTACTGTCATTGGTCTTTAATCTTTTTATGTCATTAAAGAGGCCCAATCCCTTCTGAAAGCAGAGAGCAGCTCCCTGAAGAACAAGAAGGCTGAAAGATGTGTAGGAATTTCTGCACTAAGATTCCTAAATTGTTAGACAACAAATATTTACTCTCACTCTCTCTGAGCCTGTTACTGAGCCCAGTACTAACTAACCAGGTGGAATCTTGAATCAAAAATCTTAATGAAGTGCAAAAACAATTTTGGAGAATGAATGCAAGATCAGGGATGTTGAGGATTTCCATTCGAGACCATGGAAGCGTGTACAATACAACCAGTACAGAAAATGCAGGCTTGTCCAAGTTTTTGGTGTTCCAAGAGGTCACACTAAATAGACTGTATGATCTGAAAGAAATAGGTAATTGTTTCTAAGACCATTTATGCCCCAGGCCTGCTGGACACCTATGATGGTGTTTGTGTCTGTGACTCCTTTTCTCCACCTTGGAAGAGAATACAGATCCACAGAAGAAAAATAATGCAAGTCACAAATAATCTTTGGATAAATTTAAACTGTATTTTCCAATAACAAATGTATCACAACATTTCTAGGATTGTCTCCTTCTACAGACCAGGACTTGTTACCAAAAGTGGAAACAAGAGAGCAATTCAGGGGGAAATTCCAGTGAATCAATTCTCCTCTGTGATAACCTCGCAATGAGCCAGCTTCTTTGAGTGCAGTGAAAGGAATAAACAGTTTTAAAGCGGGCTGAAAAGCAAAGCACTGCATTTGTCTATGCTGACATTACCAATATATCTAGGTTCAAACAAGGTGTTCACATAATCGAGACAGCTCAGATCTCAACACAGCTTCCCCAACACTTTTGCCTGGCTACCAGGTGGCTTTTGTTGTGCAGTTTGCCCTGTGTCACCACAACTAGAGCAAGAGTTTGAAGCGCATCTACATGAAATACCCATCGTAGTCTCAACAGTACTGTAGAGATACTTAATATTTAAGCACTAGGCATAGTCACATGGCAGTGGATACACACAAACAAATGCTTTCTGTATATACACAATGTACAGCACTCACCGGCCACCAAACCATACTTCGGCCAGCCAGGAAAAATCCACCTACTGTCCCTCGGTTGGTTGAGAACATAGCCTGGGAGAAAAGAAAGAAGGAAAGAAACAAAGAAAGATTGAATCATATTTGAAGGGTAATAGTCAAGCTGTCCACAGACTAGAATAAACAGCTGGAAGGAAGGGGTACAATATATGATAAACTGAAACAAATAAACAGAGTGGCTAAAAAGAACAAACATGATGAAGAAAACAATACAACTTGAACAACGAGATTTGTATCTAGGTCTGCATTAACCATTCAAGTTCCATTGCTTCACCTTTCATTACAGTGCCAAACATTATAATGAAATTTAACAAACAAAAAAAAAGAAAGATCACTGAAATAAAACTGCATATGAGCACTTCATCAGGGGTACATTTGATTTCCAGCATCAAAATAGACTCTAAGTTGCAAGTTCATTAACAGAAAGTGTGCAGCTCTTTTATTCAACACTATTTAGCCCCAGCAGACGTTGATAAAAATGTTTTCTTGTAGAGATATCAGCATTGTACCCACTTCTCTCTAAAGTTCAAGAAGAGTAGTTAACTAAAATTGCCTTTTCACACACTCATTTTGCATTAGTCAAGGGATGGGCTTTAGTGGAAAGATTCATCCAGTTTTTGTTAATGACCCTGATCCAAATAATGGATTTCCATTGTCTCTTCTGATGGACTTTGAACAGACAAATAAAGACAACTTGGGAAAATTAGCCTGTTCTTCTGATGCAGAAGAAAGGAAGTAAATACAATAGATTTACATTTAACTACACACAGCAACTGGGAAATTATTTGTCCAGTAAAGAGCACATTGTTGCTGGAAAGAAACTACTCAGCATACAAGTGCCTGATAAGCCATGGATCAGCCCTTTCTTGTCACAGACCTTTAATATGAAGGTCAACTACAGCAACATCCAGACCTTGGTGGCAAAGCCCCAGCTCCCTCCCGCAGACAGGAAAGTGTCCAGGTATACTGGGGGTGCAGAGCTTTTGCTACATTTTTGGCATTTATGACCATGGTGAAGAGGTACAGAAAATGTTGTGTCCATTTTGTGTACAGTCTAAATCTTTGGTGCTCCCCAAAACATTGCCATGCTGCTAGAAAGGGATGTTTGCTTTGCAGCTGACTTCTCTGCACTGTGAAATAGACCCCTGGGATGCTCCTGGCAAGCAGAGGATTACTGAGGCACAATGCCTCCTCTCTGCTTCTTAATGGTCAGGTGTTTGGGTGATCAGGAGAGCTTGCCCCAAGGAAATGAAATTTAGTGACATTCCACTGCTTACAGCTGTGTAGCTCACACTATTTGCCTATCATCTTCAAACACCTCAGCACTGAGGTTACACCACGAAGATGGTATCTGCCTTTCTCCATCAGCTGTGAAAGCACTGCACTTTGTTTTCAGATTAGGCACAGAGTTTTCCCTTGCAGTCCTCAGCACATTCAGCATTGCCAGGGTGAGGGCAGGAGGCACCGGTTTGTGTTTAGATCATGAACAGAGTCATCACCTCACACCAATTCTTACTGCAGTCCCAGTGCTCTGCAGTGCTAAACCCCATCTACTCACTTGCTTCCTGACAGAGACCCCAGCTAGCCTGACATTTACTGATCTCTTGGCTCCTTCCCCACACACACCTCACCACTACACTTTCACCCTAGTTCCATTCATCCCCCTAAATGGATGCCTTCCCAGGTTGCCACCCCCTCTCCAGTAAACACCCACATTTTCCCCACCATGCACTCATTAACTATCTCAGTTAAGCACCAAAATCTTTATACGATTACACATTTTCATCTATTGAGCCACTTTCCCAAGACCCTCTAAACTACCTGCTAATAGAAATAAATAAAATAAAATAAAATAAAATAAAATAAAATAAAATAAAATAAAATAAAATAAAATAAAATAAATAAATAAAATCCCAACCTACCCATAGTCCCACTGCCAGGACTACCAAAAAATAGATGACAATAACAGAGATGTCCGCAGCATTGTTGATCTTTACGCTGGATTCCATCCTGGCTGCTTCTCTGGCTGTCTTCTTCTCTCCTTATGTCCTTCTTGCAGGGTTCAGGTTAATGATAAACTGTTTTCATCCCCTACGTCTTATATAATGTATAACTTCAGATTCACTTGTCTCCCATGGGCCACAAGCATGGGACACAAGTAGAAGCTGCTGCTTTTCCTCAGACAACAATTCCTTCCCAAATATTGCTGCTCGATGTTACAGGTGCTGCAGATTTCAGAGTTCAACTGCCCTGCCAAAGGTGCTCAGGGTTTTAACATCCAGGAGCGGATGTCTGAGAAGGAATGAGCACGGAAAGGAGTGGCTTGGCTGCAATAAACCCGCATATTTACCTCACTGTGTTTGAATACTGGTTTTTTTTTCCCTCAAGTGGTTGTACCTGTAAGTCTAGTCACCGAAGATGCAGGTCTTTTAGATGATGATGGCAGCAATTATCTGTGAGGAGGAGTGACCTGGCACCTGGGGAAAACCCAGGGGTCCAGGAGCTAGGACACCCTGTGTCATCTCTCAACTCGGCAGTATTACTCAATGGAGAAACAGCCCTGTATTTCTGGGAAGACAACCTGAAGCTGCCTACATCTCTCAAAAGTATACAGGTAAAGATGCTTGTGAACTACAAGACTGATCCAAGAGCTTGCTGTGCTGAATTTCGGGGTGTTTGACTGTGGTGTTGGTTCTCTCTATTGTAGGTAATCAGTTTCACATTCAAATAAGTTCAAAGTTCACCAGAGCTTGGGTCTGCTCTCCCTTTATTTGTTCCTCTGACTTCAGAATCAAGCTAAGCAAAATAACTGATCACAAAGATGTGAACACACTGATTATAACAGATCTTCACAGCTCTTAATAAAGAAGCTTCCCCAAATGATGCCTGTGATCCTCTGTGTGAGCTAGAAGAGGTCAGAAAATCCAGGATATTTAGAACAAGAGACACATTTCTGTGCTCTGAGAAGATCTGAGAGTCCTATTCTCTGCTTTATACTAGGGAATCATTATTCATGTACAGCTGACTAGGCTGCCTTTGGGGAGCAAAATGTTACCTTGAAGTCACACTGAGCAGAACAAGCAGTACAGTACACAGAAAACAACAGGTCTGACTGTTCATGCACTGGTTATTTCCTTGAGAGTTGAGATGGAGGTCTGGCACTTTGTTCATTGGCAACAAATTTTTCTTAGGTAAACTACCCTTTGGTAAGTGTGGCAAATAAAAAGCACCAAAGTCTAAGGAGCTCTAATAAAGTGGGATTGCTTAGAAGGATAAAATAAAAACCTCGCTAGTGTTTCAGCATCTGAACTCTTACAAAGCAGCCCTGTCCTCTGACAGTTTAGGCATCTCTCCCAAAACACATTCTTCAGCTTGTCATACAGGACTGTGAAATGTTAGCTTGAAATCCAGCAGAGAAAAAATTAACCCTGGAAGCTGCTGAGCATCCAAAATTCCCATTAGCAGCAACCATCCCTGCTGTGTATTTCAGTGGGAAATAAGACTCATTTACTAACCTTAATTATCAGGAAACAGTTTGCCTAAGATAGGCTGTAGGTGGCACTTTACAAAGATTGATAGATTCCTGTGGGTCCTTGCAACTAACAAAAAGGTTGGTTTTCATGGATTCCGTGTCTGCATCAGTCTGCAGAGGTAAAGCAAAGAAAACATTAGGCAGGAACTTATCTACTATAATTTATCTTGGGTTCTCATCCAGACCTCTGCAAAAAAACAGAGCTCAGAGGCTAAGAAATGCTACAGCCTCCTGTCCACAGCTCCTACCGTGGCCACATCCACAAGACTTCAAGCTTTGACACAACACTGGAGAATCAGTGCAATTCCTATCTTTATATACAGTAGAAACATACTTAATTCTGTTTCCTCTTTGAAGGCCACAAACCCAAACTAAACAATCTCTACAAGACTGTCAAGAAAGGGCAGGCAGCTTTGTCAAGGCCCTTGATATCTCATCTTCACATCGCTCCTATCTGCAGTCCAAAGAGAAACCTTGAAGCATAATACTCAGCAGATTGTTGGTGTACTACATTAATCAAATGCATATAAATGGTCTCTGAAAGGTCACCCAAGTTCCTGAATTTGAAAAAGGCCGAACCTACCTTTTTATTAAAGCTTTTGAAGATAAGCATTAGTAAACCTCCTGATGTGAAGGGTGAACTTTGCATCAGGAGACAATGATAACCTCTTTTTCTCACACTCAGCTAGCAGTGTGTTTCAGTGGGTACTCTCATCATCCTGCAGTTGTGGTCAAACAAGGGAGGGCTTCAATACCAGAGAAAATGACAAAAAATTGATATACTGAGGAAATTTCTCTACTCCTTCCTGTGAGCCACACCAGTGCATTGAAGCAAGAGAGATTTTAATAGGAGTAAGAAAATAGTCAAAGTAGCATAACACAGTAACTATGATCCATGTCTATGACTGCTCCCCTCTAGATCAAGTCTGACGACATTTACCTTATCATGAATCTGTCTGTTCGTACCTGAATAGACAAAACAGACAACAGACAAGAGCACAGATACCTACAGAATGGTGTACTGACTTGTTCAAAATCACACTCCAGATTCCTGATGGAGACCAGAGTTAAGTCATGGATTTGCACACCCAACTACGTAACTGCAAGGGGCTGACAGAGGCACCACTCTGATGGGGCACAGGGCAGTACACGAACTCTGTAGAAGCTGCAAATGCTCTGTTGTCATTACAAAGTGGGGCTGTAGCATAGAAAATCTGAGAATTACAGCCCTTGCTGCTCCCTTAGCCTAGTCTCTTAAAAACGTGTACTTCTTTCTCCTGAAGATGGCAAACGATAAAACAAATAGTAAACCAACCAAACTACAAACAAGGAGAAAGATGCATTATGATGCAAACTACCTCCCACAGGGGAACTCCTCTAATCTTGTCTCTGACATTTCTCTCTGTTTCTTTCTAAAGCAAGCAGATTGCTTTTGGGGATGCTCTTCAGAAATGCTAATTTATACACAGGAGCCTTTGCACAGTTAATAAAGGAGAAAACCAGACCAAAAAAATGCAGTTATTTTACTTGCATAAGGCTATATACTACCTTAGTAAAGTCTCTCCCCTCCTTCACTGGTTTCCTAGCTATGCAGCATGAAGTTAGTGAGAAAAGAGATCGTATTTGCAAGCGGACAAAATATAAATTAAAAGGCCTCCAGCAAAGTTTTCCTAAGATGATCCTAATAATAGAGGGCAGCAGTTACAGTGGGAGACAGGGGAATTATTTAGCACCTATTCTTTGATGCCATGAGACCTTTTTCTCTTTGCGCATCCTTACATAAGTGAGCAAAAACTTGGCTCTAATTAGAAGAATTAGTCAGCAAAGGATGTCAAAAATGCTGGAAATGAAAACGCACAATCCATGGAAGAGAAATTACTGAAAGGTAAAAAGACCCAAACTCCAGTAGATGTGATATAGATAGAAGAAAATATCAGTAGGAAACCAGGTGCCTTTCTAAAAAAGTTATCAGAGAGAAAGCAATGTTATTCTGTTCTTATTCACCTACAAGATCAGATCAAGAAACATGAGAAAAACCAGGCATTTATCAACAGACAACAAAGATAACATTCTCTAGACTAATTATCTAATTAGTATTTCTATGGAGGAGAAATACCAGAGGACACAAAAATAGGTTTACATGCACCAGAACTGAAGCAAGGAAATACATCCAGTTCTTCAGCAACTGGTTAAATTATCTCTGTGTGATTACTAAGTACACCCAGCCCTGCAGTATCTAAGCATTGCCATTGTTATAAAAGGAACAGTTCAAGGACTGTACTCTTCCTGCAAGATAGGCTAAGACAGCAAATAAAGTAACTTGGATTTATTTCTGTTTTATTGATGGGTTATTCACTTGTATCATTCAGGAGATTAATAGGGGAGGATTAATGGCAAGAGATGGGTTTGAAATTTCCACTGCAACTAAGTTGATCAGCAGATTCAAAACTACTCCCCAAAACCGATGCAGACTGGCAAGCAGATTGAGCCACCTGACTGCAGGCAGATTGCTGCCCACAAGCAACTCCTCATTGAAACATGATTATTATCTTATAGACTGCACAACGCACAACATATTTCTTATCCTCATGGTCTAACCCATCACATTTGTACGTTAGAAGCTTGCTAATCCTTCTTGGGAGCTTTCTACCTTTCCCCCCAAATCAATGCTTCCAGAAAAATATTCTGTTAGAGACTGATAGGTAGTGATTTGCCACTTCTATTACAGCCAAACTCAAATCATAGAAGGAATTACCCAGAGTGGCTGCATGATGATGACCACAACTCTCACAAATATTGATATTTCAGGCATGCTTTAGAGAAAATCATCCCTCCACTGCATAAAACACAGGAGAGAAATGAACTGGAGATGAGCTGCTCATGCCCCTTCCACTGAAGTAGTTCTCCAGTTCTTCAGGTGAGCTAACAAAAACCCTGGTTGCTCCTACTCTATTTTGCTCAAAATAAATGTAATCACTCTAGAACAGATAGACTCAGCCCTTGTGGGTGTTTTCACTGCCCTGCAGCAGTAAGCAGTGACAAATATATCATTATTATGATTATTTATTGTATTTGACAGGTTAATTTGATTTTAAAAAATCTAAGTGGAGGAGGGAGAAGATGATAATCTGCTAATGTAATAGCCTAATATATATGTCAAAATTGTTCTACAGGATCCCAGAGGCTCTTTAGTTAAGAGCACTTGCTTGCACAGTGCTTGGTTGGAAAAATAAATAAGGAAAAGAACCTGAATAATACTGTACAAAATGCAGTATGAAGCTTCTGGAAAAACAATGAGAGCAGAAAACATTGTCGGAGAGAACCCAGGGAGAAGATTCCTTAAGGAATCTGGGCTGAGAGTATTTGCATTTGGCACAAGCACTTTTTTTGCTACTGGAGCAATAAACTGACCAGAAACAGGGATCAGCGAGACACGGGACTCCCAGGTCAGGATACCACCGAAAAGGCTAACAAAGAAACAAAAAAGCCCCAGTCTACAATGAAAGAGACCAGACACAGATTACAGCTGGAAAAAAAGAGAGAAATGGAAATTAACATGAGGAGTGTATCAAACACACTAATATTATCTGGAAGCAAAAACACTGATGAATAACTAGGTACATCTGTGCAGAGGTATCTTTTGGTCAGACTGAGTTCTGACAGAATCTAGAACAGAACAAAAGACCCAGGTGTTGTTTTGGCATGAAATGGAGATCCCTTCTGAAGGGGATGGATCTGCCAACTGAGAAA